ATAATGTAAAATTTATCCTTATAATAACTAGCACCAGTTCTGACTTTATATCCAAAACACACCTTATACCCTATATTTTATGTCATTGAATCCCATATCCGAGTATCTTAAAAAAAATAAATATTGAATAAAACAATATACTTATATTTATATTTTATACATATGTTTATATACAATAAAAGCTTACTTAAAATTTTTTAAATATACCTTATCTACCAATATAATCTTATTTAACTATTATGCATTGTTTCTTTTAAAAAATAACATATAACAGCCTCAACCGGGCGGCGAAGCCGCCCACATCTGCATCCTCTAGTTATCTATATATATACACGCGCCTCGATTGTTGCACGGGGACCATCAAGCCCTGGCCAGAGTTCAACACGAAGGGCCGGATTTCTTGATTGGACAAACAGGCTACTGGATCCTAATACCCCAGGGTTTACGTGCAAATCTTCCGTATTCAACATACGTGTAAGAAGGGAGGTCAGCGGAAAGAGCTCGCGCTTGGGAGAGTGCGGTCTTGTGTCTAGGAGGATCTGTTCTTCTGCCTAATTGTTCAACACAAAAGGGACAGCATGAAACATATGCGTAAGGTTTGCCTAGAACTTTCATGTGTTCAACCACATTGACTGGCGACTGTAAACTTGAACCTGAATGAGAGCTATTAAAAAATATTTTTTATACGTATATATTTATACAGTCAACTAACATACCAATTTAATTTTGAAAAATAAAAAAGTTAGATGGAAAAAATTAATAACTTCACACTCGATAAAAACATCTGTGAACCATATTCAAGCATTAGCCGCTTTTTCTCCAAGTTACGCCTATCGAAATGGAATCAAGTTGATCGCTTTACAAAGTTTATTATGATAGGAATCCTAATATATCATCACAAAAAATATTGGATATTTATAACCAAAGTCTTAATAACATTCTTACAATCCAAGGAATCAGCCGCGATGTCATTCTTTATACCCGCAAGATTTATGAACAGGAAGATGTATAGGACTTCCATTTTCTATTATATTTGGTAGAAGTCATCTAACATTATCTAATCTATTTACTTCAAATGATCATGTCAGCAAGCAAAGCGCCTGAAAATTATTGGGGACACATTAATCAAGATAGTAAGTTCAGAAGCAAAGGTAAGTATTGAAACTATTATATTGTATGCTTGCTTGAAGCATTTTTTATTTATATTAGTTCTTATATAGCAAAGGGCAACCGTCATAAAAAAAACACGAAGTTATTTCCAAACAGCAAAAAAAGATGATCATATGAATCGGAAAGATAATATTTACATTGTAAGTTCATGTTTATTATTTTTATATCCTAGATCATGACTAATCTTTTTTGTTCGTAGGATTGGGATGACGAAAATGTCAATATAAATAATAATGTATGTATTCAAATTAGCGTAGATTTATTCCAGTAAATAATGTCTAAGTAATAAATTCTTCTCTTTATTAGGCATTAATTCAACCGAATGATTTTAGTGAGACCATTAATGATGATAAAAACAAACATCAAACAGTAAATACAAATGAATCATCCGAAATATCATTTAATTCAGAGGTCAGTATAAGTTTACATTTCAAACAATGTTATATAGTATGATATCAACTTTGTAGTAATTCTTTTTATTATCTAGGTCACACTTTACACAAATAATACCGATGAGAACGTGAATTATCGTGAAAACAAACGTCGAGCAGGAGACGAAATAGAATCATCCGATTCAGAGTTTAATGTAAATTTATATTACTAGCAATCTTATATATGTTATATTGTATAATACCAACCTCGTATTTCTATAGGACTTGGATGAAATCGACAGTTTTTTCCAATCAAGTTCTTCTAGACAAGGATCAGGCAACGATTTTTTGCAAAATTTGCAAAAATCAAAGTTAAATAAGAAAAAAGTAAATCCATCCTTTGTCTAGTAATCGAAGCAAAGAGAAAAAGGTATAATAACAATTAGTCTATATTGAAAATTGGGTGTGCAGTATATTTAAATCAAAATAATTGTGAATTCTTTATTTTCAATTAATCAACTTTTTTCGTCGTTTAAATAATTAATTAATAACTATCTGATTTTTTTTATATATAATTAAACTTTCAATATACGTTGTTGTGAATCTTTTTAACTCTGAAATCTCTAACAATCTTTTTAGTCATTTGAATATGAAGATCTTGAATATGAAGATATTGAATATGACGATTCAGAATCGGAGTACGCCTTAAGGTATTGTATGATGTATATTGTATTTTTTTTTTTATTTAAGATTCACAGATTTTCTTCTAAATTCTTTTCTAGTGATAAAAACCATGCAAAACCCGCGCCATTATTACTTTCATTCAATAGACAGTACTTTATGGAATTTTATACGAAAATGAATAAATCTAAGAAGTGGATATTGCCTTCGGGAACATGTGTTGAAGATGTCCTTTTTAATGAAGGAATCTCTTTGTCAATCGAATCTCTTATTCATTCCTGGACAATTGATTTAAGTGATTTGGAAACAAAAAAATTATTTACTGACGAAGATTGGTGCGAAATTGAAAAGACAGTATACAAACAACCTTTAATTGATGAAAATGTAGCAAAGACGTTATCAAGATTTAGAAATGTAAATATCTGATTCTTTTTTAATTCGGATAAATAAATTACAAATAGATCTTACCATGTTTAAATTTACAAGATATATTATACAGTGCCGACCATAGTACCCTGTGTGACATAATGTATATCGACTTTTTAAAATACTATTTATGCATGTAAATACATGATGCGAAAATCATGTAATTTTTAATTTCCACTAAGCAAATTTTTACATCACTTCAGTTGCTAGGGTCCGCGCTGTACTGTAATGTAGATTGATAAATCATTTGACTTAGTTTTGTTTGATTATAATCTTTTATTAATGGCAAATTATTTCATTTACCAAATTTAAGGTTAGGAAAATTGCTGATCTAAGAACTGTATTAGACACAACTTCTTATAAGGATAAAAATGAACCATTCGAACAAGAAAAGCACTTTGATGCCGAATGGATTGAACATGTAATGAGGCATTTGTAAGTATTATTATAATTGTTATTATTACGCTTGTGATATTTTTAAATTTCTTATATGTAACATATATACATTACAGGCTTATATATTATGAAAACTCAGATCAACCACTTCAAATGAAGCATTTAGAAGGTTGGTACGATGCAAACATTTGGTCAGTGGTGATCGATTTTGCTTTTAATAATGTTAAAGGCCTAGAAATAAGCAGGTAATAATCTTTTAACTGCTATAATAATGACTTCAAAATTGAGATTCTAATGTAAATTTTGGTATTTATAGAAAAGATTCGCGCAGTATTTCCGTATCAAAAAGAAAGAATCGTAAGAGAAAGTTTAAGGAAAGGGTCAAAATAGGAAAAAAAATGGATGGAATATTTAGAACTTTTGATGGCTTGGAGTACGGTGCAATAGAGGTGAAAGGCCTTTTTGATCAAATTAATTCACCTGAACGGTGTAAAGATGCTTTTAAACTCGGAAAGTCAATACACGATATGTTTGCATGTTTAGCTCAATCAGTAAAATTTAATGAAGAAAAGGTCCGACAATTACAAGTTGTTGGACTCCAACATTCAGGTATGTTGGTGAAATTCGTTAGCATAGTTAATAGTAAATTAACAATATATAAATTATTTGTAGGACTTAAATTACAAATAAGCCAACTGTCATATCCTAAAGGTTATATTTCTATTCTTAAAAGGGGGGAACTTTTCGAAATTCCAACAAATATAAATAAAATAACAAATTTAATAATGCTTCTGTCGGGTGTTTGGAAGGCAAAAGTATTGACTTTTTTTAAATTTTTTTTAGGCCGTTTGAATTGCAATTTCGTTTAACGTTATTCCACTACCTCCAAGATTTTCCCTAAAATTAAACCCAGTCAGAACGTCCATTACGTTTTGAGATTTCAATAAATCACATTACTGTGAAACAACTGATGTGTTATATAATGTTTGTTTAATTTGACCCCTTTCCTAATACGCTTAAGCTTCGAAAGGAACGTTAAACGAAATTATACCTTCAAACGGCCTTAATATTATAGCTGGCATAAAAGTTTGAATTCTAATAATTTATTTTGTCTAACTTAGAAAATGATTATGAATTGTATGAAGGTTGTAAATGAGGAGCCGGCAAGTTCAACTGAGGAAGAATTTATAAAGATGCTAGCCGATGGTGGCACAACAACACCACCACACACTATTTCTGTTGCATGGTCATTGGACACATAAATTTTATTAATGCAAGATCTATTAATAAAAATATGTTTATTTTTTTTATGCATAGCTAAATGACAATGACATATTTGATTATGAAAAAGATATAATTATGTACAAAAAAAATTGTTGAAAACCAAGAACCCAAAAAAAAAAAACAAAGTTATGAATCAACATGAATAGAGATTTCATTTTGATTTAATGTATCAGAATCATCAGAATCAGAAGTGCTTTTTCTAGACCGTTTTTCCGAAAGACGGCTTAATTTTCTATTATCCTCTTCCAATATACTTCTAACCTCATCTATATTTAAATGTTTTGCTTCGGTAGCAGTAATGTTATCAGTTTCAAAAGGGTGATTTTCCGAAGAATAAACCCAATCATTCATAGAAGGAGCTTTATGAGCCACCATATTTGCAAGCTCTAATTTAAGAATTCCACAAAAATCATCAAGATCTAAATCATTTTCATCTTTACCAAAAGGATTTTCAATTTCACTTGCTATCGCTTCAACACCCAATAAAGTTAAAGTACCAAAAAAAGTTATAAGCACAGTGATCCAACCATTATCAGAAACCAATTGAAATGGAAGACTCAAACAATATAACCAAGTAGTTTGAGCCAAGTGAATTGAATAAGCAAGGGGAATAGGAGATCTAAGAACTCTTTCTAAACTTGATAAACAATCAGTAAGAGTACATAAATTGCTATACATGATACCTATAGTTGCATCATCAGTAGAATTATTAATTTTTTGTTGTCTAATATATGAAGATAAATAAAAAGAGATTTCAAGTGGTAAATTATGATTAACAATATTTTTAGAATCACCACCTAATTCACTTGTACTTGTAGAACGAGAAAACCATTTTTTAAAACCCGAAGGGTTTTTATAAATACTTTTTTTATCAAGCGGTTGAAATGCTGGAAGACTTGATTTTATATTTGTAATATATGGTTTTAAATCAGGATGATCAACTCCATCTTCTTCACGAAGATAATGTTTAACTGCTATTGCAAAACCTAATAAAAGATTTATGGCAGTTTTTTTCTCAAGTAAATGTTTGGGTTCGGTTTCTTTGACATTTACCCAGATACAACGTGCTAAGTTTCGTATTGATACTACCATAGTTGACCATAGTCGACGACCTTCCCAATATCTTTAATATAAAAATTATGCATGGCATGTTATTGTATGTTATTAATAACTATAACAGATTAATAAAGAGTTTGTGTTTGAAAATAGTAATTACCTATCATAAGCGGTATTAGTTCGATAGCCAAGTAATAGAGAAACAATGAAACCAATAATTGAAATAAAAGTTGGATTAATTGAAAGTTTAATATCCGTATATTGATAGAGAGCAGTAACAGCAGCTGATATAGTGGTAATGAAGATTGTTTGAGGTAAAATTTTTGGCATAACTGACCACGCCATCTGAACAGTGGAGATAATCTATTTCGGTATGGTGTGTAAAGTTTTGGATTTTGAAAATGATCTTCGCAATGTTTTTCAGATTTTGGAGGCATTTTTTTTTTAATTTAGAAGAAAGGAATTGGAGAATAGGAAGGAATTAGAGAATAGAGAGGAATTGGAGAGTAAAGAGGAATTGGAGAATTATGGAAAATGATGGAAAAAATTGATCGCTCGCCTGGAGTGATTGGAGAATAAAGAGGAATTGGGGAATTATGGAAAATAATGGAGAATGATGGAGAATGATGGAAAAAATTGATTACTCACCGGGAGTGATTTATCGAAATGTCAGTAATAAGAGTGATTGAAAAGTTAAAATTACTTCCCTTTTGATATGGAAACAATTTCAAAATTTCAACGAAGAAAAAAAAAGTTAAAGGAAGAATATTTATATACATACATATGTGGTCACATGAAGATAAATTCTGATTGGTCATAATTTAAGATTGTAATGCTATTATTATGCATATAGACATAAAAAACAATTACTGCGGTCCAATCAGTTTGGAAATTCGTCCATTTTGTCCAAAATTGACTATTTGTAAAGCATATATCTTACGTTCAATGAACCTAATTTATTTCATTCATAAAAAAGATAAGTCTTTATTGTTACGATATTTGTAACTCAAGTTTCAAAACACAAAGTTACGAGCACAATCGTTATTAAAAGATCAACAACAAAGGATATGGATCAACAATAAGGAATGTGAGCCAAAATTAGCCAATCATAATCGAAGGTCGTCAAAAGAATTATTCGCTTAAAAAATTATTACAGAACGAATTTTCATGATAACGGCCATTTTAACCTACATTGAATCTATAATAAATATATCAAAAATTATAAATTTTACACACACATATATAGGTCAGAAGTGGTCAAAAGGGCAGTTTTCTCGAAATTTCCTTCCGAATTCACCGTTAACTCAGTAACCTAAAATACCCGAATATTTTAACAAATGATGTTAGTGCTCTTTCTATAGCTTAGTATACCCGTTTATTATCTCTCTTCTATCACTTGTGACAAGTATTTCGGTTGTTACTTTTTAGCGTCACTTATCGTTATGAGAAAAATTCGTGTAACAATGTATCAAAAAGGACCCTAAAAATCAAATCCGCCATATTTAATCTGATGACGTTCTTTGTAAACAATTTATCCACAACTTTAAAACATGTTTGTAACACTGTCTTATGCGTGTTATGTATTATAATAAACAAACAGGCATTACATATATCACGAGCTATTTTGAGAATAGTTCAAATAGTTGTAAACTAAATCGGTATAGTCGAAAAAAAAAGATTTTATGTTGACTTGAAAGTCAATTCTTTATTCGGACACATCTTATCTAATATATATTATATAATGTGTACTGTTTTAATTCGTACTGATTACTGTATTTAATTTTTATTACTGTAACGGTAATAGTATTTGGTACCAAAAAAAAAAACTTTAGTATCAGATTAGATTGGATAGATTATCCGGACCTAACTTGGATTTCCGGATCGTTTAACATTCCTATACATTAGAAAATGAGGTTTTAGGATTTACCATCACTACTGCCAAAGATGGCTACAATAATAAATAATACTGACACTCGATAAATAATATTGACGCTGTTGGTTATACATACCGATACTATATATATTTATGTATGCATGTATAATTTTTTTTTTTTTTTTTTATGTAAGATTTATTATCGAATAAAGTAAATTATCGAATAAAATAACATCCAGATAATCAAATCAAAAACTTTTCACCATTACTGTATTTAGTTAATTATAACACTAAACTGTTTTTCGTACCAAACTTTAATTGTGCTACTATTATTATTATTTATTATTATGATTATTTCACTTTCATTTAGAAAATGATTAAACTATGGTACATCATGTATATGGTTCCACACAATGACTGTAACTATGTACGTTCTTGGTAGCTGGCTATCCTAAACTGGTAGATCCCGGGTAAACTTTGCCCTGCCATAATTCTATAATTACGAGTTACACTTTAAGAATACGTACCGGATAATCATGCTATTTAACCATGGTATTCCTTGTATACATATCAGGAAAGATGATAAGAAACCTGTAAATTAGGATAGAAAGTTCCAATTTAAGTAGATTCCAAACCTGTTTATGTTCCATTTCCACTTACAACAAATACTTGATGAACAATTCATTATCGTTATCGTTATCTTTATTGTTATATTTATATATATATATATATTTTAATTATCGTCGTAGTATTCAATTCACAAATCCATTTTCATTATACTATTAAAATAATTTTCTCAATATTATTGTACGGAATAAATGTCTTTAAAAGAATTCTTGATGCAGTGTAAAATGACTTTCCCCATTTAAAAAGACTTTTTCTAGTACTAATTTGGTAACAATATAATTTAATGTCGATAGAAATTGTTTTCCCTGTAGATCAATTTATTGTTTATTGCACGGAGAAGTTTTATTGCAAGGAGAATGTTGTAGATGTTTTTTTAGAATTTTTTGAATTTAGAATCGACTTTGTGATAGCCTGAGTAGGAATGGAATATTTAAAAATGAATAAATGCTTATTAATAGTATTAATAAATGGCCAATAAGAGTCCTTTATAAAATTGGTCTTTGTTTTTTTCTTTTGTGTTGTGGCAACAGTATGAAGATCGGATGAAGGATGGATCTGCAAATACGAAATTAAATAAATGATGATTAAACCTAAGGACGAATTATAAAATAAATGTGATAGTAACTAATAAAATATTTGATATAAGTCACATATAATTGTTTGCATAGAATTTTTTTGGTATCACTCAAGTCATTTTTAAAAATTGAAATTAAGTTGATTCTATAAACGCTTTCCCTGCAAATTACAGTATTTGCATAGAAATTCAGTATCACTCAAGTTATTATTAAGATTCAAAATTGATTCTATAAACGCATTCCCTGCGAGCCCTGCGAATTCCGAGAATCCTGAGAATGCAGGGAAAAAAGTGCATTTAGAGTGGGAGTGCATCTATAGATGTTGCTGAACCACTAAAAACATCGCAATTTAACTCAGAGTAGTGTGTTCTCGATTAAAAAATAACTCATTCACGGTTACATAAAGGTTCTTCATTATTTGACTCGTTCACTAACGCATACATTCGTTAATGCATAGGCATTCTAATTTTGATTTAGAGAATCAATCAGGATTTTATACGAGATTAAAATTGAGATCCCTTACACCTTGCTGCAGATTGTTATATTAACCCAACTATTACAGTGGGATGATGGAAGCCCAAATATTGTAGTAAGGTGATGAAAAGGAAAAAAAATTCATAGCATCAAATTATTTTAACGTTATCTTTTATTATCTTTTATTATCAATTTAACGAAATCTTAGGTAGAAATTAGCATATATATAGAAATCATCTTGTCTTAAGTAGAAAAAACTAATAACTGCATATATAATCCATACGCACTTATAAATGTTACATAATTTATCGTATTAAATATCATATACCATAGGTTTTTGACCAAAATATTTTCTTGAGCCAAATTCAGAATTATATTCAATTAATTCTTTGCTGGCGTTCTCAACTATCCTATCATATTCTTCAGCATTGGCTCCTGAATATTCGGTCAGTGTGAATCTCATAGCTTTATAAGTAGAAAGAAAATCTTGTACTGCCTAATTTAATGTAATAAAAAAAAAAAATTACATATTGATATTAATAATATACAACGTGATAGTTGAAAATTGAAAATTGAAAATTGAAAATTATAGTTTTTTTTTACCAAATCAAGATCGGCATAGGCAATAGTTTTTCTTTCAAAATGATATTTGACAAGATTATTTTTTTCAAATAATTTTTCCATATCATCATAATGATTTTTAATATGTATGCCGCGATTTAAAAAGCTTAAAGACACTATATATTATGTAATTATTTCAGAGTAAAATATGAATTTGAGAAATTTAATTAAAAAAAAATTAATTAAGATAAGAAAGTATATCTATGCACTGTATATACATACACATGTCTTCAAGACGTTTGCAGATAGGACCAGCATTTATCATAATTGGATCACGATCTTGGATTTCGATCCATCCACCAGGTTTTAAAATTCGAACTAAATCTAGTAAGTAATAAATGGTTTGTTACCTAATTGATCAACGTAACTTATAATTTAGAAAACGAAAAAAAAAATTTACCGGGAAATATTTGATCCCTAATAATTTTTAAGGGAAAATGATGGAATAAATCTTTGATATGTATATAGTAAAACGAACAATCACTGTATGGCAATCCTTCCAATATATCACATTGTTTGAAAGTTACATTTAGAGGCATGACATCAGATGGAAACATTGGTGCGACGTCTACACCAGTAAATTCCGAAAGCGGATAATCAGATGCCTTAAAATGCGTAACGAGAAATTCTCAATTTATGTATATTTAATAAAAATTAAGAATTATTAAGAATTATTAGATTGTTCAGTAGAAAAAAGAATACCATTTCGAATGCCCACAAGCCGGATCCACATCTTTTTATTGAAATAACGCGTTAATAAATAGAAATTAAAATGTTGTTATTTAAAAGTTATTTATTATTAAACGTCATTATTAAAAGTCATGTCAATGATTAAAATTTTATAAAACTCACGCAACATCGAGAACTTGGGCTCCTCCAAGTTTTAAGCTCGTTTCTATTGGAGAAGAAAAATTTGTTCGCCAGACATACCAATCTACATCGTGCTAAAAATAAGAATTTAAAAATAAGAATTGTTAAACAACATAAATAACGTATTTTGAATACATGATTCTAAAAAAAAAATTTCAAAATAAGTAATTTAAACACTTATTATTTTAATATCATTTGAATCATCTTAATAAGACGAATCAGACAATATAAAAATCTTGAGTGTTTAATTACTTGCATTTAAAAATATTTTCATTAGAAGTAAATATAGTGTAATGCGATTTAAATATTATGAAATTTACATACTCTTAATTGCATTCTGTCTGATTCAAGTTCATCGATTGGTAAAAAATAAAACATGTTTGAGTTTTTAAGAAAT